CCAGGGCGGGGCAATTTTTTGGTTGGGCGCGTGGCGTGCGTGTGGGTGGGTGGGTGGTGGGTGCGTGCGTGCGTGTGGGTGGGTGGGTGCGTGCGGGTGGGCGCGTGGGCGGGCGGGTATGTTGGGTGGGTGGGCGGGCGTGGCCACGCACGCGGCTTCTATTCTCTTTTGGACTTGTCGTTTTCTTCCCGCCCAACTTGACAAAAACAAAAAAAAAATAAAAACGCGGTTTGCAAATTAAATAAAAAACAAAGGGGGCGTCCTTCCTATCCGACGGCATGCGCTTCCAGATATACCCTTTCATCGACGCCCGCCGCCGCTCGGCCCCGTGGGCGCGCTCCTTCGTTTCTTGGCGCGTTGTGAACAATTCGGTACGCGCGCCGCTCTGCGGGCTCCCCCTCCCTCGATCGCCTTCATCCGCCGGCCCGAATGAAAACTTCGACCCGATTCCGGCGCGCAGTGGAACACGACCTTCCCCCGCGGGCCGCTCGCGCTTAAGGGGTAGGATAATAATAATAATAATAAATAATAATAATAGTAATAATAATAATAATATACATTGTTTTTCTCCCCCGTAGTATCTCGATCGTGATTCAAAGCGTACGGTCCAACCAAACAGCGTATGACTGCGAGCGGGTTAGCCAAGTAGCAGCTGTAACGAGCAGTGGTAAGGAGTGACGGCAAAAGGGCACATGAGAACAAATCTCTCATCAGCCTACCGAAGGAACGACGAGGAATAGCGGTATGTGAGATGAGCAACCGTAATGCCGCAAGGTCTGGCTGTTTGGATTGCAGGTTGTCTTCCTCTCTCGAGGCCAATGTCAATGTCAAGGTGCGAGCAGACCACACAGTTTCGATGCAGTTTACCGCATCTGCTCACTTAGTTTGTTGCGGACAACACGTATTTATTTTGATAGCAGACAACACTCACTCATTCAACTGTTTGCAGACAGCACCCGCTTACTTAGACAGTTGTGAGCCGCACCACTCATTCAACTGTTTGGGATCACGAAATCACCACTTCCCCTGAAAAACACTGTACATGAAAAAACAATCACCCCTCCCTTTGCTCATAGCCGGATACAACTGTCCACCCGACGTATCAAAAGCGAACTGCACCGTCCCATCTCTATCATGAGAAAATACTAGGCACGAGGGGAATGATGGCAACATGCACCCAACATGCTTGGACCTGACCGAAATGCTCCACCTGTGCACGCGCATGCAAAAGGAGTTTTTCATCCTTCTCAGATCTATGCGCGTCTGTTGTTGCTGGCCACATCGGCAGAAAATGCAACGCATGCGACCTCAAGGGAGCGAGGAAGATAGTCTTCATAGCTCTCTGCCCAAGCGGGGTGAGACCTCAACGCAACACACTCTGTCACGATGTGCAAGATTTCGGGATCGAGTCACGCGCACTCGGCAAGGACAAATGCACATTCCAACAAAACGGGCAGAAGACGAGCCCAACCTTATGGGGCTGGCCGCGAAAGCATCGTGCAACCCATGCGTCTCCACCTTCACCAGTGGTAAGCAGCCATAGTAGGGCCGAGGTCGCTTGTGATACTATTCAATGCCCCCATTCGCAAATCCTATCTGTCTCTTTCTTCTTTCGCTCGTTTTTCGATTCTTCCTCTTCCTCCATTTCACCCCCACCATTCCCCGTTATTCTCCTTGCCGCCCACCACATTCTTCCACCTTCAATCCTCTCATTTTCACCATCATCTCTCCCCCCATTCATGTTCCCTCCTCACTTCCTTTTTCCTTTCACTTCGTCCTCTCGTTCCCCTCCTCCTCCTCAGCAATTTTTACTCACACTCATTGTTGCTCTCCTTCATGTCCTATAGCGCTCAGACTAGCGTTTGCATTTTTGCTTTCGCAGGCCAGACCTCATACTTTAGTTAGCGCTCACGTTTGGTACTCATGCCCGATCTCCTTTGCTCGTGATTTTTACCTTGCACGTATCTCCGATCATAGCTCCTTCTATGCTCCTCTGTCTCCCGCTTATAACTTACGTGTAGGTTAGTCTTTCAATATTGAATGTATACAAGCTATTATTCCTAATTGTATACAACTAGAATAATCGCCTGTCGTATTCACGAAAAACTAGTATAAATGAAGTTCATGTTGTAGATTCAAATATTGGTAAGGGAAAAAAAGAAGAAAAAAAAAAAGGAAAAAGAAGAAGGGAAAAAAAAGGACTCACCTCGAAAATCTGAATGACTTGGCACCAAGAGCTCGTGCTAGGGGAAGTTATATTCTATTTTCCCTTCTCGATCTCGATTCCTCCTTTCCTTGCGATTAAGCTGGTCCCTCCTTCCTTCTTAGATCCCATCTTGGTCCGTTTTCCTTATCTCGGCTTTTGCACCTCGATTTTGAACGTACGCAAGCCGC